TCAGCGGTTTACATTGCGTACAGATCACGCTGCTCTAACTACCCTCCTTAGTCGAGGAACCAATGGTCACAGGGTACTGAGGGTTAACCGCTGGTATGCGTGTTTACTGAACTGTGATTTTCAAATCACATTTCGCCCTAGCTCCGAAAACCATATGGCAGATAGGTTATCACATCTTCCATTGGACGATTCCGATAAGAATGAGGACAACAAAGAAAAAGTCATGGTTTCCGCTTTACATTCAAGTGAGCTTTCCGCAAGAACTTCAAGAAGCTAACCAAAGTGACCCAAATTTACAAGCTCTTTTCCGCTATCTTTCTCTTAGGCTGTCCTCGCTACACGAAGCTCATTGGTGAACTACGGGCCTTTTATGTTTTACGACACGAGTTAGCGGTCATTGATGGTTGCCTTAAGCGAGGATCGAGATTCGTCGCTTCACAGAGACACGCCAAAAATTATCCAATGTGCACACGAGGGACATCTGGGTATCATACGAACAAAGCGCCGACTGCAATTACACTTTTGGTGGCCGAAAATGACTACAATGGCAGTGGCGTGTGTCCGGTCTTGCGATGCGTGTCAGAAGCATGTCAGAGCTCTAAGCCAATAGATGCATCCATCCAACCTATCGTTTATCCAGTGAAACCTTAGTCGAAGTTGGCGATTGACATCATGGGACCATTCTATTCCGCACCGCAGCACCAGAGAAACTGTTTAGCGGCCACGTGCTTTTACGGTAAGTGGCGGGCGATTCACTTTTGTGGCGATGTGAACATTTCAACCGTTATAAGGTGGTGGCTGAAGCATCTGTTTCCTAGATTTGGGCTGCCAGTTGAAATTACGACGGACAACGGACCGCAATTCACAAACTACGAGTTCCGACATTTCCTACAACTTCACGATGTGAAACACGTACCAACTGTCCCGTAAAATCCAGCTACCAACGGAATGATTGAGCGCACAAATCGCTCTCTAATAATAATAATAATAATGTGTCAGCTGTACGCCGTAACGGCGCTTCGCTGCCGCGCGACCACCACCGGTCGCGCGCGGGCTGAGCATACCGCGAGGACACCTACCCCGACGCGGATTCGAATCGGTGACCTTATGGTTGCAAAGCAAACGTGCAGACCACTCGGCCGCCGGCCGCACATTTGTGCGGCATGCGGTGAGAAGACGCCGTTGTCGAGGCTCTGTTTATCCACAGAGCGACCGATCGCACGCCAGGGGAACTAATGTTCGGCAAGAAACTACGCACAAAGTTAAATCAGCTATTTCGGCTGCAGAAAACAGCGATCCCCACCAACTGGAGCGTCGCGGACGCTATCATTCCTCTTACGAAAAGCATTCTATACAACTGCGCCCCGGAACGTTAGTCCGTCTAAAGGAAAGGCAGCATTATCACGCCCAATTAGGATCACTCGAATCTTAAGGCCAGGGACGTACAAGCTTGCAGATAGCCGCCATGTTAACGCCAGACGGCCTTCCTCAGCTCTTCAACCAGACGCAGGGTCAATGTCCAGAAACGAGGTCCAAACCAGGGGGTCTAACAGGTCAGTTGTCACTCATGCGGGTGCGCTCATTTGGGAAGGAGGTGATGTGGGAGCGCTTACTGCAAGTTCCAGTCATGTCTGTCACGCATCGCAGCCTGAAAATGATTGGATGAGCGTCATCGATTGATCAATATCGAGGTCATTACGCTTGTACCTTTCCTGACTCACTTGTGTGAATAGAGTGTATAGAGCGTGTCCGCCCCGTGTTCTGTTTTCGTTAGTGGGCTCCGGCCGTAGTGATTCAAGACCCTGCTTGCGCAGGAGCCTAGTGTGCGTATTGGGATACAACACCACTCACCCCTAAACGATCAAACGGCTGAGCATGTCAAGCTCCGGCTTTTTTCCCCACAATATACTATTGACCAAATCATCGACCATTCCATACTTATCTGGTACACAATGTGCATGTATATGTGCATTTTCATGCAACTCCAAAGTTCGACTCACTGACCAATCGGGGAGCTGCCTCTTTCAGGTGTGCTAGTTTGGATTCTCTCGGAGAGATAGGCCACGCCCTGACAGTATGAGTTTGGAGTCGGTCATGTTTCTTCTTGACTTATTTTTACAGCCCCTTTTCGGTCATTGGCTTCCTTAGATGCGCTTTAGTGGCTTTGTGTCTTATCGCATTGTGAGTGGATTACAATTGGATAGTTTCTTGCAGTCAACAGCAAATGCCTGCCTTTCTCCGGTTCAAATGGACCGCTACCCGTAACTGAAGACATCGGTTTGTCCACGATTCCCACAGTCGTGTTTTCAGGAGATACAGTTTTTCCTCTAGCCAATGTATTTTTGCGAGTGTTTTCCCCTTGTGTTGCTCATTGAACCATTACGCCCATCAATTGTGGAGGGAAAACGACCCCAACCAACTCGGGGACATTTTCGGACACTACTTAAGGGCTATCCAAAGGCTGTACCGATGCATTACTCATTTGAGGCGCAATGTATATATTGTCACATCGGCAGGGGCAGATAACAAACCAAGTCACTAGATAAACACACGGTCTGGGTTGCAAAACATGCTGTTGCGCGGAATAAATTATTCTATGATATCTTGGTTCTACAATCATAATTATGGACCATGTAACACAATAGAATTACAAACAAGTGAAACGACTCGTAAGGATATGGCAAAAGCCAGTTATCGGGTATCTTTCTTGCCGTAGGTGATATGAATACGTAATTAATGTAACGCAGTAAAACCAGTAGCAAATAGTAGGTGCTAAATTAGTAAGTTTACAATGTTACGAAAACACGGTCAGCAACTGAACATAACTCAGTCTGAAAACCTGTAAATGTATGACTAACATTAATTATCAGAACTGCGGGGTAACCAGAAGCGAATACAGTTTGATGAAGCGGTGAGCTAAGAGTAAACAGGCTATTTGGTGGTTCGGTGTTGCTAATCCCAACCCTGACACCCCATAACCGGTTTCGTCCTCCTTTCGACTCATCTGATGGAGATGGCCTGAGCTGAGCTAGACTGTCCTTGTGATCGTAATGACCGAGGTCTACTTCAAAGAGAACCGAGGTCTGAATGGAGATTGCGAGTCGCAATCCAACCACATAGTGGGTACATCAAATGCCACTTGGATAAATAGGCTACTTATTAATTGTCAATGGAGTAATGTATCTTCGTTGATTTAGCATTCAAACATATTCATCCCCAAGTTTCCTTGTCAGGTTGCCCATTAACGATTCTGCGGGTAGCAACCGACTCTATTAAGCCCATGCTGCCTGTGCAAAATCACTGGTCTAGCCGTTTATCAGTTGTGGCACTCATTTCAACTTATGTAATCTAGCTGCTCCTCCCTCTACTACCATCGGCACTCGTAAGCCATATTCGTGAAGAGCAAGTCGGGTTTCGTCGAAGTCGAGGCTGCACCAATCCCCTTTTCACTTTGCGTCAATTGTTGGAGCACCGTCACATATATGTTGGCGGCCCACCGCTATCGTGTTCCTCGATATCAAGCTGTCTTCGATTCGGTTGATCGATGTGCCCTTTGGGACTATTTATTCAGGAAAGGTGTACCCGAGAAATGTGTAAATAGTATGCGAGCGTTATACGCGTGTAGTTCGGGCAATGTGAGGGTTTGCGGCAAACTGTCGCCGCCCCCACGATACCTCCAGTCATGTGAGACAATGATGGTCACTTTCATCTTTCCTCTTCAACTTCGCTATTGAGAAGTCATGGCGATCGCGTTCACAGGACACGGTTTAGTAGGTGTGGAGCTGCTCCCAGGCGAACGACTTCTTAACTTGGAGTATGCTGTCAATATACCCTCATCTGTGACAGCTCCCAAATGTGCCAAGCCTCACTGGACAGATTAGCACTGGTTGTCACCAGTTTCGTGCTATGCTTCGTACTCTTAAAGTGTAAAGCTTTTCTTCAAGATTGGCAGGGACCGCCTCCTACGCTGACCCTTGGTGGGTATCAGCTGGAATTCGTTCAAAGGTTCAACTACCTAGATAGTTGTATCAGCAGCGTTGGAATTGAAGACGAGGTCACAAACCGCATATCAAAAGCACGAGGTGCTTTTGCTAACTTTTGCCACCTGTGGCGCCGGCGCGACATCACTCTTTACCTGAAGAGTGGAATGTACAATGCAGTCGTTCGTTCAACTCTCTTTTAGTTACCTTCGACCGCCGGTGCGTTCCAGGTTGGCTCGCATCTTGTGGAAACACCGCATGAGCAATGGGCGTGTTCGACGCCTTGTTTATGGCACAGGAAAAGGGAATGGACCGCTTAGCATCGTTATCCTACGCAGAAGTCTCTGATGGGTGGGCCATGTGTTGCGCATGCCAGCCCACTGACTTTCACGAGGTGCGTTGTTTGCGCGCCGGGTGGTGGATGTAAGGAGAGGTGGCTAAGCGATGAGGTTGGACTGGCTTGGTGGCTCTCGGCTTCCTGGTTGGGGTCCGAAAGACTAGGAACTCGTTTGCTTGGATGCAATTGCTGACATGGCTGGGGGTCAACCTCAGTGGCGTACTTGTTGCGAGTTCCTTTGTCCCTCCTCCTCCCTCTTAGCCTTCCCCTCCAAACGTGATCTCATTTCTTAGTGTAATACCAGTTTTGTTTAACAATATTTTTGCCGCATAGCAGCCGACTTATAGCTTTCCAGAACGATGCGCATCCGTTACTGGTGGTTCAGCTGGTGTGCACCTGTTGTAGATTTTTCCGTTTCTTTTCTTATATATTGCGGCACAGTAAATGAAGTGTTCTCCATCTCTAGCTAAGGTGTATAATGATGATGATGATTATCTGAACGCTTTCAAAATGCAGTATAAAGTGTCGACACTTTTCCTGTTGTATTCGGGGGGAAGAGTATTTCTCGTGCACTTTAAATTGCGTTTCGTTGTGATTACTAGCAAGAGTACTTCAACTAATGTGCCTTCACAACGACCCTTTCTGATCTTTTGCCGAATTTCGGCATAATTTTCCTTTGGTAGGTAGATAGCAATCTTGCTGCTATCGAACATTTGGCCCTACCCTTCGACCTTGCTGTTGGACCCCACCAACTTCGCCACGCCTGTCATTTGGCCTATCGTCATCCTCGAATGAAACTTGTGCTCAATCACTGCGGACTTCCAGTGGAATATACAGCCTCTCGGGCAGGTGAGCATCGCATCGCATATACCGCTTGTTGGTTCGTTCGCTTTTCCTCAACTGGTAACTGTTTCGTCTTTCCGGTCACACTCCGCGCGGTGCCAATGGAGCACTTTCTAATGAATGGATCAGTGAAACCTACATGGATCGAACTTCAACCTGTTTCCAGAAATTAAGTAGAATATTAACGCTGGCTGCTCAAATGAATGTAAGTAGGCAATGTAATTAACTAAAGAATAGAAGAAAACAAAGCGTTCAAGAAGAAAACCACAAGCACAAATATCTGTACTCTGCACCATGTAATTGTCTTGTGTCTGACGGCCACTAAAAGGGCATCTGCAACCTTACCTTCCGCTAATCGGAATGGACAGGTTTCGAAACGGCCAATCAGTGCCGCGCGGCGGGACGTTTATGAGCATAACTGCCCGCGTCTCAGGTGGCGGCGCAATTTTGTCTTTTTCGACACAGCTAGCTTATGCTGTGCTCGCACTACATTTCGTCCAATTTCATCATGAACCTTATCTCGATGAGTCCTTGTGTCACAGGAATTTACCCCGTTCAAGCATGTCGCTGTATCCTTGCCTACTTAGTTTTGACTTCATGCACACCTCAACGTGTACGCGAACTCTTTTGGTTCCAGTTTTACGAATTGTTCTTCAATTCATGTTACATTTCGTGCATGGTGTGGATTCTCATTCACTGACATTCTCGTTTACAAGCACTTACGCCTTCCTGTATTTACGCACTGTGAATAACCCCATTGACACCCATTCACGAATATTGCGAATTGATTGATTGGATCATCTATGGCACCTGAACTCAATTCTCTTAATTGACTATGTGGCAAATTTTACTTCACTTGCTCCGTGCCATGATTTGGCTTCGTTGGACGGTCGATTGCAATTTAGGAATAGAATTGTTGGCAAATTGTATGGTCTGTACATCGTTGTTTTTAGACTTTAAATTGTTGCTTTAACGTTTTGTACATAGCATCATAGCTCAATAGCGTCCATGACTTCTGAGTTGACCAGGAGTTACTACGTGTTGCGCAAAATCCACAACCGCTTGATTGTTAACCCCTTGTAGCAAGTCGTGACTTCGTCGTTCCACCGGCACCGGATTCTTTTTCAGTTTAACATCTGTTTGTCCCCTTCTATTTTCCATCACCTCTGATTGCTAGTGTCATGGAGATAATAGTCACGGGGACTGAGTGCACCTCACTTTGTGGTTGGCGGCCGGTTAACTGAACTCCCGCTGTTTGACCAACTGCAGCACCTCGGACACCTGCTTTGCTCCAACCTTTGTTGCTGTTACTTCTTCCCTTTATATCATTGGTGATGTAGTGGCTTTGGAATGCAGTGTTTAACGTATTAAGGTGGTCGCAATAAGTTGGAACTCTGGTATCCCCGGTTTTTTGTGTTGCAGGCCCGTTAAATGTCCTGCAAAAACGCGCCACAAACTCCGGCTTAATGGATGTGGAAAGCATAGTTTAATTCCTCCACCCATTGTAGCAGACTTCAGCCACTCCGAGACGCGGCACAACTGCGCACATGTTGACAATGTTCCTTGACAAACTACCACCCCACCGCGGTAGCTATTTTCACTAACTTAATGACCCATAGTATTGGCTATGATTCGCCCTTTGTTGGTCGTAAAAGAGCCTTCAGAGGTCCACTTGTCTTGATTTTTCTTCGTCTTTACTTGGGAGTCGGTTTGGTCACGTGGTTCTTGTGTGCGTCGATAGCCGGGTAGCGTTCGCGTCCTAGCCACTAGCGGGTGTCTACCGTCACCCCTCTCGTGTACGTAGCCTCGTCCGTTACGTGGGCTCAGCGCGATTTCCCGCCTCACCAGCGCGTACCCCGGGGCTAAGCTAACGTCATCACTTCAGCGCAAATCTGGCTAGCGTTCCAAGCCGTTATCATAGGCGTGCTCAAACCGTGTCAGTGACAATCGTATCAGGCTCAAATTCTTATCAAAGGCGTCTCCCAATTTTAACAGGTTGCTCACCTGTAGATAGCTTCTCCGAGCGTGCTAACGTGATTGCATACATTTCACCACCATGCTAAGTGACATCTTCAGTGCGGTGATATGTAGTGTACAATCTTGCTTATTGAATCGTCACTTCGTGATCTACGGGCAGATGACTATTGCAAGTGGCAATTTCGATTTGTGCCTCGTGATCTCTGGCCGTTCTCTTCCATGGCTGAACTGTGTTTCTATTCGCCGATATTTCTTTCTGAACTGATGGTACACGGGATCGATGTCAGTGCGTATGTTTGTCGAATTATTAAATGAGTACTATGCTTCTAACAATTCTCTTGCTTTCCGTTTTGTTGCTTGAGCTAGAATCTCCGTTTTGTTCTAATTGAATCAATGTCCCTCCTCATCCACATGCGCAGAGACAACAGACGATGCATGATATTTTTTTACAAGTCCTCTGATGTTCTTGTATCCTTGTGGATAGTTTCTTTCCTGTATGTCTCACGGTTCATTTCACAATTCTTGCAATTTATTTTATACACGACGTTTGTTCGTTTTTCTGCTTTCCGATTGTTCTTTGGGTTTGACAGCATTCTTCTCAAAGTAGCAATTAGCTTATGCGCGACTATGATGCGGGGTTGTTTGGGCAATATAGCAGTCATTTCGGATAAGGTATTCTGGTTCTGGTGTGCTTCTTGGCCTGATTTTGTAGTTATATCACCGATCTAATAGTGACATAGGCTTTTAAATATGTTATCCTGACGAAACTGGACATCTCTGTAGCTTTCACATTGGTTCTAACCGCCGGATTATGCTTCAGATTTGTGCATATCGAAAACGGACACTTTCATTTCTGCAATCTTTCGTTCGTTCTATTACCCGACCTTTCTCGCGTCTCATCGCCGTTGTTATTTTGACTGGAATGACCAGAAGTGGGTCTTGTGCATTGCGATGAAGATGCCTCTTTTGCTGACATCGCGCACATTCTTGTCCTCACTGTCATACTTTTTCTATCTCTGTCTCTCTGCCACGCGCATTATAGGAAGCAACTTGGCTCTGTCGAACTGGCGTTCCGACTTGGAATTTCTCAGCCGGTATCCGAACGTGCTTTGCAAGGTGACGGGCGCCACTGGATGCATAAGCAACTCGGATACTGATCAGTGGTGTGCCGTCTCCGCCCTGTCCCACGCCATCGGCTGCTTTGGTCCGGATCGATGCATTTTCGGATCGGGTTGGCCCATATGTCGACTTTTCAGCCCTCATCAGACTGGTTGGCCCGAACAAGGCATGTTGGCTACCTCCGTGGAAGTTGGCGAAGTCGCAGGAGAGGTGGCAGCCAAACGATCCCGTGGCTCAGTCCCATTGTCCATGCTGAATTTGTGGGAGACAGCTCGTCTGGTCGAGTACTCCATGGGTGAAGCTGGTTACGGTGCTGTGGAGGACAAGCACAAGGTGTTCTCCACAAATGCTCAGTCTGTGTACAGTTTGACGATTCGACCCTATGGTTCCTGTCCGCTTCAGGTTCCACAAATTCATTGAACAAGACATCACTTGTACATCAATATATGCCTTCATGAAAAGCATTGCTTGATCGTTCTTCCTCCGCTCCCTACGGTTTGTGGGCAGTATTAGAATTCATCTATAGTTTTTTTATGTACCGAATGTGTTTCTACCAGTTTAGCCAGTTCTCGATATGAGGGTTATTCTGATGAGCATGTGGCCCTCAATAGCTGTATCTATCTGACGCTTTCTGGACTAGGTGTGGTGGAAGGTTGTAGCGACTTTTTATCACTAGGTCTTGCAAGAACCCGAGGTGCAATCGGAATTATTTATTGTGTCGAACATAGCTTATACTAGGTGCGTCCGTTCTGACAAACGAGATATCCATTCATCTCCGCAATCTTTGTTGTATATTGCATAGCGCGGGTTTCTCTCTATGTCTAGGGATAGTATGATGTAAACTGCTTGTGCGTCTATTCCTCGCGCACTTACAAGTATGGTTCTAAAGTGTCATTACGGCATGCTGTTGGATGATTGCCGTTTCGCATCCTGGCATTTCCACACTACTGATAACCGACGCAGTAGTGTCTGCCTTTAATGCACTACAACCTGTTTTAGCACTACTTTTTGTACTCCTCTATCCTACTTTCCGATTTTATCAGAGTAGACAAAAGTCGTTTCCATGGAGTGGTATTTTTTTGCCGAAACACGATCACAGTGTTCCTTCCAATCAGCGCAAAAAACAGTCACCCGTCTTGGAACTTTTGCTTGCTTTGCAAGTGTTCTCGACTTGTTTGTTGAATTGGTTGAACAAATGTGGATAGGCACTAAATGTCGAGTTGTTGTCTATCGTGGTCCACTGGTTGGTCCGTGGGAGCTATTTGCTACCGAACATTTCCCCACGTCGCGGATCGGGGAACGTATTTTTTACGAAGGTAACTGTGCACAAGTCTTGTTTGTTCTCAGGCACAAACTGAATAAGTGGTCACAAGCGACCAGCAGCTCAACATATCAGAACGTGGGCCTTCTGGACTTGTCACCTGGTTCTCCTTTACTTAACACAAGAGTGAAAATGTTACGGAAGACGGCTGAACATTCAGACCTTTTCACTTTGTTACTCTTGCGCTTTTTGAATCCAAGAATAGTTCATTGATCTGGGTTTCTGATTCTTAGTTCTCTCAATTTTTCTCCACTGTTATTTCACCGAAGGTTTGATGGGGCGACAGATTAAAGCAAAAATGTATTGGACTCTTGGTATTCTCACTTTACACTGACAAATCTTGGTTTGTGAAAACTGATTGAGCCGTGTTTTTGAAGCAGTTTCACCTTTCGACAGTTTTGCGGCCTTTTTTCAGTAGCATCCGGTGGTTCACTTTTCCTAGTGTTCGCTTTAAACTAAAACTAAATATTGTCTCTTCATCCGCATATAAATCCAATGTGCTACTGATTAACTTGCAGAATTTTGTGCATTTGCCGATCATGCGTGTTTGTATTATCATAATCATACCTTTGCAGTTGTGCCTCTCATACTGTCGAGAATAAACCATTTATTCATTTACTTAGAGTATCAAAATCCAGACGCAGTTTTTCCAAACTCCTTTGTTGCCTCAGAATATCATCACCGTCCTCACTGTAAATCTTAGCTGGAAGTGGAATACACCTCGCCTATTGCGAAGCAATACGTATGAAAATAAATAAATGCAACCGAGACATGCCAGCTGAGCCTCCAGTAACGCATGCGCATCGTTCCGGAGAGCTACCAGCCCGCTATTGTGCGGCATAAGATTGTATCATGCGAACTTTATAACATGCTAAGATATGTGTCAGCTGTACGCCGTAACGGCGCTTCGCTGCCGTGCGACCACCACCAGTCGCACGCGGGCTAAGCATACCGCGTTGACACCCACCCCTACGCGGATTCCAATGCGCGCCGCAAGATTACGAGACAATCTCGTTACTTCTAGACTACGGGTCGCGATTGAAGGGGAAGGCTAAGAGGGATGGGGAGGGATAAAGAAACTTACATCGCAAAGACCATTGAGGCCTGTTCCCAGCCATGTCAGCAAGTGTGTCCAACCGACCGTGTTCATCATCTTTCGGACCCCAACCAGGGAGTTAAGAGGCTGCAACCGAGGCCAACTTCGAAGTGCCTTCGTTGCTCTCGACCAAGTCATTGCTTAGTCACCCCTCCTCTTCTTCCATTCACACCCTCGGCGTACACTCAGCGCACATCGCGGAAGTCGGTGGGTTGATATGCGCAACACGTGGCCCAGTCATCCGAGCCTGGTGCATGATATAACGGTGCTAGGCGGTTCATTCCCTTTTCCGGTGCCATAAACAGGGCGTCGAACACGCTCATGGCTCATTCGGCGTTCCCACCAGATGTGAGCCAAACTAAAAGACACCGCTAGTCGAACATAATTAGCCTCCTTATGTCTGCTGATCTAATGGGCGAGGTTTGCAACCGTAAATGCGAGTTGAACGGACGGCTGGGTTGTTCACTTTACTCTTCAGATGGAGATGGATGTCGCGCTGGCGCAACAGGTGGCGAAGGTTTGCAAGAGCGCCGTTAGTTTTTACTACATGTTTCCTGATCTCTTGTTCGGTCCCAAGGGTGCTGATACGACTTCCAATGTAGTTAAATTTTTAAACGAGAACCGAGAAGCAACTCTCTCCATTTATGGCTACCATAAGACAAATGGCGTTGGACGATTACGCACCTGTTTCTGGACGCGGTGCATTTGGGATAGAGCTTTCATGACACTTCATATTTCACCCTTTACCCGTATTGTTCTTTGTCGGTAGGCACACTAATGCTCAATGCAGCCACCAGTGGATAATCACCGAACGAATTATCAATTTGCTTTCTATGTATTGATTTTTCGTCGCATGAATATGTGTTCTCTTCTATCCAATGTGTTCAATAGCTTTTGTGCTATTATGAGGCGCAACTTTTTGAACTTCGAGTATTAACTACCATTTGCTAATGCATGCGTTGGGACTGGAAATCCGTACGACCTTCATATAGCGATGTTTATTGCTTTGCATTTACAGCAATGGGATTCTTAGTAGGCTCAAAGCAAAGCTTCTTGACTACAGTTTCCCTCCCCCCTCAGTCTAGATAGTCCCTTTTACGTATGCTCTTCGATGACATTATTAAAACAACCATGGTATGTGTATCAGTGTGTTTTATTGTTCCATGTTTGTTTCGCATCCTGGCCATACCCATGGTTTGTCAAATCCTTGGGTTTTATAAATCCATAATGCTCCACTGTTCCATTGTCTCCTGGCTGGCACCTGTATTAGTACACGTAGACTCTAAAGGCCCGGTTTGACAATCCAAGAGTTAAACTGCGAACACATCAAGAGGATTTTACCTGTGTCTCTTGAAACGTCATTTCCGAACAATGTGTTGTAGTAGTAAGCGTAGGTTTTGTTTTGTACATCTGCACCGAAATATTGGCGAATGATTTAAAAATAAAAGCCTTCAATGACCTCAGTATTGTAGTCGTCGTCAGGTTTTAATGTTTTGTCATATACCGTGTGACTCACAGTAACCCTAGACTCTCAAATTTACAGTGTAGTCGCAACTGTGTGATCGTATTATGAACCTAACAGTGGACGAGTGTAGATCCAGCAATGCTTTGCAAGATTACACTGCGGTTAACTCCACTACGTGCTCCGGCACCCTATTCGGTACAGCCGTTCTAAGTGCATGGGTGGACAACCCGCTTCAGATTTGACACCACAAGCTTGGACTTGTATCTGCGAACGCTGCAGAGCGTTCAAAAGTGGAACAGCGGTCTAAGCATTGGGAGGTCACCCAGATTTAGTGTATTCTAGATCACGATACGGTCGGCTGTCGGTGATAGGACGAAGTGTGCAGTTTCAGTCTCTCCTCGATCTTGGTTTGGTAAACTTCATAGGTCGCAGATATGTCTAGCAACGACGTGTTGTACCTGTTCGAGCTTCTGCGCCTCGTCTCCAGTGATCAGACAGATGATGAGCCATATTCTAACATCGGGGACGACCAAACTGGTGGATTTTCCTTTCACACAGATCTGTGAAGGGAATGATTTAATGGCAACGTTAGTATCCAAAAGCAAAAAACCAACCACTTGCGACCATCAGGGTCAGGATAGCAGAGAGTAGTCATATACCTCGACCGCACTTCAAATGCCAACGACTCTTCAACAAACGGCCAGTGGTCGACTCCTCAACGGTCGGCAGAATCTCCAGCCTTTATCTAACCACCACTGACCTGCTGGTATACTAACGTACAAGGTCTAATTAATAAGTTGGTCGAACTACCTCACCGTCAGGCATTTGAGTCGCGAGATCACAATGATCATCGAAACGTGACTGAGTAGTGAAATTGCCGACGCTTAAATCGCTCTGCCCGGTATGTCACTTCTCCGTAACGACAGAATGAGTGGGGGCGTGCGAGTGAGATTTATTGCAATACAAGTCATCATTATGAGCTCATAGTTGACCTTCAGACGTGTGTCATCGATCTCCTTTCATGCAAATCTGGTTGAACGTCGACGACACATGTCTCTTATCCATGGTACACCGATAACCCACTCTATTCCGGCGATGAATCATAGACTGACAACTGTATTTCGCACTGTGATAACTCAGAGATACACACATATCTTCATCAGTGGTGAATTCAACACTCATGAGTTGGAAACTCCAGCAACCGAGGCGGAACAGTTCAAGGTCTATTTACAAGAAATCTATAGCACACCTCTATACCCCCAAGTCATCGATCTCACCAGGTTCAGAACAGCGACTAAGCTATCAAATTGAGATCTAGGGCCCACTAGCGAGAGCTCATGGTTGATGGGCTAAATGTATGCAGTCCTTGGGGTCGAAGACATCACGGGACTTCACCGTTCGATTGCCTGTGCTACCCTGATGCGAAGCCCTAAACAATTCAATCTATTACACATTATCATGTTTGGTCCGCATTCGTTGAAAACGCTAGTTGGACATTCATGACTGAGTGCACCTCAGATAGCCTGGGAACTATTCTTGAAAACCTTCACGTTACTAGTCACGCGAACATCAGAGCTAAACT